ATATTATTTTTTTTCAAAAATGAAAAAAATTGAGATAATGACGGATCTTGATTCTCCTAATCATCAGGATCATCCCCTAACAAACGGAAATCAAATTCGAGTTTGTTTGACTAAGATATTGCCAAAACAAAAATTACCATAAACGGCAAAAACGCATAATTGAGGGCCTAAACGATGGAATTTGTCCAAAATTTGAAGTGCTTCAGGGTTAAAGGCCCTGAGTTGTAATCATTGGCCCGTTTCCACTCAAATTGGACTAGCAATTCGTCAAAAACGAACAAACCCGAAATTAAATGGGATTATTATTTTGCCTTCATGAGTAGAGGACTTTTTTTAAAATGTGGAAGAGAATTTTGATAACAATTTGTTTATTCTAATCAAAGATCTTCTCTTCTTTTTCTTTTTTTCTTTTTTTCCAATACACGATGAAATATAATTCTATTGTATATGAACTATATTTCAAAGATCTAGGTGGTTTAAGAATGTTTAGAGATTGAAATAGAAAAAATGGGGTTTCTCCTGCCTACATGGGAGCTCGAGCACACATGTTCTAGAAAATATAATCGATCGCCTTCTGAACGTTCATCAAGCAAGAGTGTTTTGAAAAATGTGCTCAAACACCTTTTGGATATTCATCGAGCACACATGCTCTAGGACAAGCTGAATTATTTCACTTCCATGATTTTTGAGATATACTCAATTAACTATTAACCCTTGTCAATTCCAACCCAATTACACTCAATTGAACGAATTTGGACACAAAACTTTCCAAGACTTATTTGTCTCCGAATTTATCTTTTAGGCCTTGACTTCATCGGATCAAATCTTTGGGCAGCCACTGATAAGGATCAGTTTTCTCCAATCGGATTCGACATTACGTTTCCCAGCATGATAAACAATGCCAAAAAATTTGACTTGGTACTACCTTTAGGCACTGCCATGTACCTCAACAAAGATTTGGAAATCCAGAGGTAAGCTTTTTCCACTTTTTTTAATGTCAAACTCCTCCCCCTGCTCATTCTGAAAAGAATTCCAACACTCTTGACAAAACTTCTTAGATCAACCTTCTTCATTTCTCAAATAATCAAAGCATGTATTAAACATTGAAAATTCTGATTATGTATTAACATGAGAAACAGGAATCTAGCATACATTGCCGAAGGATTTGGGGAATCGTGTGACTGGAACGAGGTATTAGCTCAGCAAAGAAGTAATGGCTCATTGTTTAACTCACCAGCCACTACTGCTGCTGCTTTGATTCATTGTCACAATGAGAAATGCTTAGAATACTTGCACTCAATCTTGCAAATTCATAATGGCTGGGGTA